AACCTTTTGTGACCAGGAATAAGAAGCCCAAAAACTGAAGTGGGAAGACATGGACTTGAAATCCATGTGTGTACTGAGGGACTTGGGTTGTCACAGTCATTACAATCCACCATTGTTTTTGCTTGATGGTATGGGGTATATTTGTGAGTGCTGATACTACTGGGAATAAAAAAGGAATGGATTATGCATTTCTGGCCATTCCAGGAAACACTGTATGAATACATTACTACTGAAGATGCATATGGAATGTGTAATGTTTAATTTTTGCTTTCTCATCTGTGAAGCCAAGAGCGAGCTGCTTTTGGCCTATCTCATGTACCTAAACCATGTAAAATCTTTACTAAAGGCCAAGCAAATTTAAATTAGAAGTAGAAAGGAACAAGAATGCTTGAGGTTTCAATGTGACTTGAATTAGTAAGCTGTGTTTCTTTGCATTTTCCAAGTCATCCTTTGAAACTCTGAGGAAAACTGTAAACTTGATAAAGTGAGCCCCATGCTTGCAATTTTGCACATAAATTCAGAAAGTCAGTTCCAGGAGTAACTGAAGCTCATCCTCAGGTCCAGGTGAGGAACTCTTCTGCCTTACGCCCGTCCCTCAAGTTTGCCTGATAACAAGAGTCAGCTGGGGCACTTGTTAAACTGCAGTTCCTGGGTCTCAACCCAAACCTACTGAGTCAGAAGCCAGGGAAAATATCTGGTAATATTGTTACTAGAAAATACTACCGATTCAGACCCCAAGAGAGGGTTCTTGGATCTTGTGCAAGAAAGAATTCAGGGCAAGTCCATCAAGTAAAATGAAAGCAAGTTTATTAGGAAAGTAGAGGAATAAAAGAATGGCTACTCCATAGAGCAGCCTCGGGGGCTGCTGGTTGCCCGTTTTTATGGTTATTTTTTGATGATATGCTAAACAAGGGGTGGATTATTCATACCCTTTTTAGACCTTATAGGATAACTTCCTGACGTTGCCATGGCATTTGTAAGAGTGCAGCAGTGAGGAAGACCAGAGGTTACTCTCTTGACCATCTTGGGTTTGCTGTTTTGGCTGGCTTCTTTACTGCAATGTTTTTATCAGCAAGGTCTTTATGACCTGTATTTCGGGCTGACCTCCTATCTCATCCTATGACTTAGAATGCCTTCACCACCTGCGAATGCAGCCCAGTAGGTCTCAGCCTCATTTTTACCTAGCTCCTATTTAAGATGGAGTCGCTCTGGTTCACATGCCTCTGACAACATTAAACAATTGCTCTAGAGCAGCACTGTCCACTAGTGATGTAATATGAGCCACAAATGCAAGGCATGTATATAATTTTAAATTTTCTAGTAGCCCCATGAAAAAAGTACAGAGACACACATGAAATTAATTTTAATAACACATAACCCAGTATGTCCAAAATATCTCAACATGTAATCGGTATTTTTTTATTTTTAATTTTTTCGAGACAAAATTTTGCTCTTGTCACCCAGGTTGGAGTGCAATGGTGCGATCTCGGCTCATCACAACCTCCGCCTCCCAGGTTCAAGCGATTCTCCTGCCTCAGTCTCCCAAGTAGCTGGGATTACAGGCATGCACCACCACACCCGGTTAATTTTGTATTTAGTAGAGACGGGGTTTCTCCATGTTCGTCAGGCTGGTCTTGAACTCCCGACATTAGGTGATCTGCCAGCCCCGGCCTCCCAAAGTGCTGGGATTACAGGAGTAAGCCACCGTGCCTGGCCCCTGTAATCAGTATTTTTTAAACTAAACAGATATTTTACATTTTTTGTGTGTTGTCTTCAAATTCCATTGTGCATTTTACACCTACAGCACATCTCAGTTTGGACCAGACACATTTCAAGAGCTCAGCCAGCCACCTGCATGGCTAGTGGCTCCTATGCTGGACACAGGTCTAGAGCAGCTGTAACTTGGCAGTGATTTAGCGTTTCTTTGGGTCCTGATGAGTGATGCTGAAGTCACGGCTCTTATACTGCAGGTGTCTGCCTCACTCAAATGAAAACAGATAAACTAACCCAAATTTTAGGCTTAAGTCTGCAGTTTGGCCTTGTCTTTGCATCTTTAAATAAATGAGCATCATAGTTCTTTCCTGGGGTTTCTCCCAGCGGTTCACTCCCATTCCCTTCTAAAGGCCAGGCAGTTCTGAGCTCCCAGCAATGGCTACTCCCCACCCCTGCCACAACCCTAAGCTGGGGTTGGCCTGGGTCTGAGAGAGCCTCTCCTTCCCTTCTGGGGTTCTGTCCTCCTTTGGAGCCTGCCAGATCCGGAAAGCTCCCTCTGGTCCCCTGAGGGCCTGCGTGCTGGGGAAGGAAGCCTTTTGTCTTGTGGAAGGGCTGGGATTTCCACAGTCTCCCTGTTGGCTGAGTGTGGATAGGATTGGGGGAGGCAGGGGATTTGACTGCTCTAGGTAGCATCCCAGAGTTTTTTGTTGTGAATTTCTTACTGAGTTTGTGGTTACATTTTTAACTCTCCCCAGTTTTTTTTTCCTTTTACACTATTAATCAACATTAGAATGAAAGATAAAGGGTTCTAAATGGTAATAAAATATAGGGCAAAAAACCCTTCCCCGCCCTTTTTAGCTGGAGGGAAGCAGGAGTCCCTGGCTTCCCCCTGCCTGGAGGAGGGCTGCTGGGAAGGCTGAGGAGGTGCTGCGGGGGCGGGTGGGGAGGAAGGGAGCTCCCCTCCTGCAACACCATCCTCACTGCTGGTAGGAAATGCTGCCACTCTCCAATGCCGGGAGGAAATGCAGCCAGATCTGAGATGTCCTGGAGGCTGCTAGGGCCCAGGAGAAACACACGCTCCTTCCGGCTTAGCCTCTCGGGTAGGAGGACTTACTGAAAAATGAGTTCTGGGCTGACGGCTGGTTGCTAGACTTTGGTTAAAGATCCTGCCTCTTCCATCCTTTCTCCCAAAAGCAGGCCTGGATTTTATGTTGTAACTCCTTTCTTCATTGATCAGTTTGGAGACCTTGACTTACCTTTGTCGTAGCTAAAGGCAGAAATGTACAAGATTAGATATATGAAGAGCCAGGAAAGGAGAACCAGGGTCTGAACCATTTGGGCACCAGAAAGGAGCCTTCTCACCTGAGGTCACATTCCCATGCCGTTCTTATACGACTCTAACTCGCACTTTACACAAAACATACAAAACTGTAAAAATATCTGGCGACGCAAAAGTGAGTGAAGTAGAAAATGAAAGCCTCCCGTCAACCCCCTTCATGAGTTAAGCATTGTTGAGTTTGTTTCACCTTCTAGTCTCTTACTACAGTGTCAGATATTCACACTCAGCTTTTCAGTTTTTATAAAAATGGCATCTTTACAACTCACCCTTTTTGCTTAATGTATCAGATATCCTTCCAAGGCAATGCATGACCATCTGGTTTTGAGATGGTCTCACTCTGTCGCCCAGGCTGGAGTGTAGTGGCAGGATCATGGCTCCCTGCAGTCTTGACCTTCTGGGCTCAAGCGATCCTTCCACCTTAGCCTCCTGAGTAGCTTGGACTACAGGCATGACCCACCATATCTGGCTAGTTTTATATTTTTTGTAGAGATGGGGTTTCACCATGTTGCCCAGGCTGGTCTTGAATTTCTGAGCTCAAGTAATCGACACTTCTCAGCCTCCCAAAGTGCTGCGATTACAAGCATGAGTCACTGCCCCCGGCCCTCCATCTGCATTTTAAAAATATTTTTCAAGCAGAGCATTTCAGTAGCATGGGTAGGCTGTGATTAACCAGTTCCCTGGTTGTCTCCCTTTATTAGGCATTATTGTAACCAGTGCCTCAGTGAATCCAACTATAAGTGATGTATCTTTAGGAACTGTGCTCCTGATAATCACTGTAAAATCAATTCCTAGAAGTCAAGTTGCTTAGTCAAGGGGCATGTTCATTTATTATTTTGCTAGATCCTACCCAATTGTCTTATAAATTAATCATGCAAATTTACATTCTACATACAGTGAGTCCTTTTTGGAGGAATTCCTTCCCTAAATCCTGGTTTCTTAATATGTCCCAAAGAATCAAATACATTACCTTCAGTGAGTTGTTCTAAAGCTGTTTTAACAGTCACTAGAAGCTGTCACCCAGGCATGGTGCTCAGCGCTGGGAGTTCATTGGGGAACCAAACCAAGTAAGGTCCTTGCCACTCTGGAACCAGACACGACCACGGGGGAGCCTGATGGCTCCAGCACATAATACACTGACATAGTGCTGAGTGTCATATTAAGTAGAGGAACACTGTGCATGTGATAGAGGGATCTTGGAATCACAGTCGTCAGGAAGGCAGTGATTAGTGTTTCCCTGCTGGGTCTCGTGGGAATTAGAGGAAGGCAATGAGCTGACTGGACACTGGAAACCTCCCTGAACTGACTCTAAGTCAATTAGCTTGGGTTACCTTACCAAAGTAGTAGAGAGTCCATAGAACTTGAAGCTGCTTTGCCTATGGAGGGCAGGTAGTCAAAAATGCAAATGTAATTTCATGGGAAATAAGGACCCTTACAATGAGAAGAGTATCGTATCTATTCCCTCTACCAATTTTGGTTTTTGGCAAGGTGTGATCATGTTGGTCTCAATGAGTGGGGACCTGTTGAAGGTAGGTTGCTGAATCTGAGTGGTTCAGGAGATACTTAGGACACTTGAAAAAGAAAGGGATGGAGACTGAGATGGGGGTTTGTAGTCAGGCTGCACTCATTGCTGAGGATCTGGTATGCCAGCAGTAGAAAGGAACTTCTAGATTAGCTAAAAGACTAGAAACAGAAATTCCTGTCTTGTTTCTTTGACACATGAAGATCTTTAAAAAGCCCTTGCCATTGAAGAAATGGGTTAAATCTGCATTTGAGAAGGAATTCATTCAGGTGACAGCAGCGCTGCTGAGCCCTTTAGTATCTTTTCTCTCCCTTGCTTTTAGGCTTTGCAAACTAAACCTTCCTCTTCCTGTCACCACTTCCCAGGTAGTGGGCAACTCCAGCATCATCTCAAACTATTCCTGGCATATTTTGTCTCTCCTTGATACAGAGAAAAGAAGTTGAAGGCCAGAGTTCAAGAGCTGGTGAGTGCCTTGGAGAGACTCACCAAGAGCAGTGAAATCCGACATCAGCAATCCGCAGAGTTCGTGAATGATCTAAAGCGAGCCAACAGGTAAAAATCTCCCTATACCCAGCCCCCACCGCCCTCCACCGATGGAACTTGGACTGACACCCCGCATGTAGACAGCACCAGGGATGGACATTTCCCTAACTCTTGAGAACTAACTCTAGAGAGTGGGTGAGTCCCTACCTGGTGCTCTAAGAACCTGGTCTTCCTTAGAGCGACATCTCCCAAGATGTTCATGGAAACTAAGAAATGCTCAGTAACAACATCCTCTGGCCAAATGTAGCATACTGTGGTATGTGCCTCCTGATATTATGTATCTTAAGGGTTCTGAGAAGTCATAGAATAAAAAATCTGTTTAAGCAGTATTTTCCAAACAAAATTGGCTATGGAATTTATTTGAGCAACACAATCTCCACTGGAATACTTTAGGAAATACTGCTCTAAGACTGGGCTCAGGACTCTTCTCTATAAAAAACGGAGGACCTCAAAGAGCTTTTGTTCCTGTAAGTTGTATTTATTGATACTTCTCATTGTTCGAAACTAAAACCAAGATAAATTCTTTAAAGTTTTTATTTCATTTACAAAAAAAAAATGGCATTTTTATGAAAAACTATTTTCCAAGAAATAATTAGAAAGTGGCACTGGTCTTACAATTCTGCAAATCTTTAACGTCTGGCTTAATAGAAGACAGCTGGGTTCTGACGGTTGCTTCTGCAGTCAATGTTCTGTGGATGTCTATTGAGAACACCTGGCATCATCCAGCTCTGTAGTTGGAAATAAAAGCTCAAGACCTCACAGACCTCCTGAATGGGTTTTACAAGTCCCTGGGGTGAGTCCTCAAACTGCCTGGGAGAACAGCTATAAGGGTAATGACTGTACATGGACTAGACTTACCTGGGCTCAGTGTATACCCTCACCCACCAGGCTCTGGTGGGGGCAATTCAAAAGCCTAATGTTTGGCTTTGCAGCATTGGCTTATGGCCTAATTTAATACTCTGAGTCCCACCAGCCCAAAGCACAAAGGGAAGCTGGAACAAGAACAATCTCTCTGCTCTCATCCCAGGTATGGTCACTGATTGCAGTGCCTCAGGAATACACTCCTGTAAGGGTATATGTTGCAAGCAACCATGGAGGAACAAACAGGCCCACTATTGGTATTCATCCATTTTGGACTTGGCCAAATTGGATTGTTGGTTTGACTCTTAGAACCCCTTCTAATATGTGAGAGCGACCAGCATCTAGCAATCCAGCTGGTTTCATCAGGGTTAAGCCAGTAGGTGACTGGCCACTGAGTGTTGACATCCTGATGCTGTCCCTCCTCTCACCACTAGATTTCAGATTCTTACCGAAGAGGCTGAGTGATCTATGAATCTTCATACTAATTTCCCTTCATTCCCACCTAGCAACCTGGTGGCTGCCTATGAGAAAGCAAAGAAGAAGCATCAAAACAAACTGAAGAAGTTAGAGTCGCAGATGATGGCCATGGTGGAGAGACATGAGACCCAAGTGAGGATGCTCAAGCAAAGAATAGCTCTGCTGGAGGAGGAGAACTCCAGGCCACACACCAATGAAACTTCGCTTTAATCAGCCCTCACGCACCCGACTTCTGCCGTGGGAAGTAAACTGCAGCAGGCCACTGAGGATAGAAGGGCCCATGTACTTGTTGGGAGGAGGAGGAAAGGGAAGGCTGGCAGGTAGGTTGGCACTTGGACAATGGAGTGCCCCAACTCAGCCCTTGGGGTGGACTGACCATGGTGACACAGTGGACTGTATCCAGAGGTGCCCACTCTTGCCTCCCTGGCCCACAACAGCATGTCAACACATGTTCTGTGCCTGCTCAGCAGAACCTTGTTTCTGCTTTCAGCATTCACTCTCTCTTTCCTCTTCTGGTCTGGCGGCTGTGCATCAGTGGGATCCTAGGCATTTGTTTCTGTAAGATTTTCCATTCTATTCTCTTTTTGGTAGATGGTGAGCTCTTCTAGGATCTCCAGTTTCTCCTCTTTCCTCCTGCTTCATGGGAAAACAGACGTGTGTGTGCCTCCAGCATTTAAAAGGACTGCTGATTTGTTTACTGCAGCAAGGCTTTGGTTTTCAAGTCCCAGGTCTCAACTTTAAGATAGAGGCGGTCATAAGAGGTGTTCTCTGGGAGTTACAGGTCATGGGAAGAGGGTAGACAGGTGTTACTTACAGTCCCAGATACACTAAAGTTACAGACCACCACCAGGACTGTGCCTGAACAATTTTGTATTAAGAGAATAAAAACTTCCTTCAACCTTCATTTTGGAGGCAGGGCCAAGGAAGGGAGCATTCTCTTGATTCTGGGATTTCTCCCTCTCAGTGGAGCCTTATTAATATCCAAGACTTCGAGTTGAGAATCTTTTTGATACCTATAGTGGAACTAAAATTTTATCAGGGGTTTCTTCAAGAGCAGAGAAACATTAGCACTTCCTGCCCCAGGGCCCTACATAATTGCTGTTCTGCTGAATCAGATCTCTTCCACATGGGTACATTTGTAGCTCTGGACCTGTCTCTACCTAAGGACAAGACATTGAGATACTGAACATTTTGCAAAACTGATCACGCCTACTTAAGAGTGTGCATAACCCTCAGTTCAAGACTTAGCTCCTGTTGTCATGATGGGGACAGGGTGAAGGAATGGTTGTTAAGGCTTCTTTTCTGCCCCCAGATACATGGTGATGGTTAGCATATGGTGCTTAAAAGGTTAAAGTTCAAGCAAAGCGCTCACAGGGCTAGGCAGGACCAAAGTACCTGAATTCTTTCAGGAAGGTCTTCCATCTTAAAACAAATTCATTATTCTTTTTCAGTTTTACCCCATCTCTGTTCTACACTGATACACTTGAAGGACCATTTACTGTTTTTTTTCTGTAGCACCAGAGAATCCATCCAAAGTTCCCTATGAAAAACATGTTCCAATGCCACAGCTGACTACAAATTAAACTTGATGAGGTTTCTGCAGTAGAGTCTGTGTCCATGAGCTATGGGTGGGTCTATTTTCAGAGCATGATACAAATTCCACAGCCTTCTGTTCAATGGAGGATACTCCAGCCACCAATTCAGAGGGTAGACAGTTCTAACCGAAAAGCAACCACTGAGAGGCCAGCAGTGGGGCTGTCCATCTCCAAAACAAAACAAAAAATCAACTGGTTTCAGTCTAGAAGGACCAGCTGTGGGGTGCTTTGATCACTATGAAAATGCCCACTGGTTTCTATCCATCATATGGTCAAAGTTAGTTCCTGTGTTTTTTTTTGGTTTTTTTTTTTGAGATGGAGTTTCACTCTTGTTACCCAGGCTGGAGTGCAATGGCGTGATCTTGGCTCACTGCAACCTCTGCCTCCCGGGTTCAAGCGATTCTCCTGCGTCAGCCTCCTGAGTAGCTGTAATTACAGGTGCCCACCACCACACCCAGCTAATTTTTGGTATTTTTAACAGACCATTTCACCATGTTGGTGAGGCTGGTCTCGAACTCCTAACCGCCGGTGATCCACCCACTTCCGCCTCCCAAAGTACTGGGATTACAGGCATGAGCCACTGTGCCTGGCCATTCCTGTGATTTTTTTTAAAATTAATTTTTACTTGTCGTATAAAGTTGCATTTTGTCATGAGGAAAATATTTTGGCTAAAGCCAAAAAAAGAAAAAAAAATCAGTTTTCACCATTTTTCCAGCTTGCCTAGGGAAACGTCCTCCCTTGAGCAAAGTGGGATGTGCATGGCTCTTTTGTGATTAAGCAGGCATCAAACGGACAGTTTTCATTTTCAATGACACAGAAACATGTGGCTGAAGCAGGAATAAAATCTTGCCTACTGACTTCTGTCTCCATTCTTGCTCCAGGTAAAATCAGAGAAACTCCCCTTCTTGGCCCTTTAATTCACCCAGGCAAAGGCAGCTTCAGCTCCTCTGTTAAAGGCCCCAGTTTTATTCATTCTACCTGACCTTAGTTTAATACTTTCAAATATGTGATGATTTGGGTAAAAACTATTTTGCAGGCCAAAGTGTTACTTTTATAAATATGTATAATAAAAAAGCTATAAAAGTTCTTCCTTTCCTTGTATTTTTCAAATACTCCCCAAGACACAATCCTTGAAGGTGAACTGGCTGGCACTTGATTATGCTAATTGTGGGAGCTACTGAACGATACTGATTAAGTTAAATGCTTGCAGGTGCCTGGGTAATTTTCCTTTGTGTATAACCTGGCTCTACCTGAATTTTTCTCTTAATATCTCCATTGAGGGTAAACAATGATCTTGATTCTAATTTATGTGAGTTTAAAAACCTTTGGATTTCGTATTTTGAATTGTTCTCCCTAGTTTCCTCAATGGTTACCCCCCTTTTTAGTCAGTAACCATCTCTGTTCAGAATTCAGTCTTTGGCTTTTGAAGAAATGGGCACGGGGCAAAAGGACCCATTTCACAGTTCCCTTGGAATATATTTCTCATTGTTGGACTGAGGCAAACAAAACCAACTGTGCAAATCACAAGCAAAAGAGACTTCTGTCCATAGATGGAGTGCCATCAGTATGAGCTTACCAGCTACAAAACCTGTCATAGACTGGGGAACAGCAGGATTCCTTATTGAAACTTAGTTTTCTGAAGTTAGTTAATATCCATGCTGCCTGAAACAAATGTTATGTTTAGCACTTTTAAAATGAACTGCTTAATTCTCCTTTCAGATGCATGTACTAAGTCTTCTCTGAGCCTGCAGCAGTATTTTAAGAGGGACAGGATTCTAAGTCACTGCCTTGACATTCTACTCCAAAAGGCAGTCCAAATTAGAGCCCACAGGCTTTTTCTTAAAAGCTGTTTGTTAGGAAGTAGTAAGAAATTTACCACTATAAGGAAAACATGAAACTATCTGAAAGTCTTCTGGTTCCTAACTGGATACAGATTAGATTATTTTAAATGAAAAAAAAAAAAAAAAGTGACCCATAGTTACCTGATCGAGATTGGACTGCCCATGTCACTGGCATGAATTAAAGAACCTCCATAGTTGCCTGTTCCCTTCTGAAGGTGTTCCTATGGCCCACAAGAATTATCCAGCAATCACCTTAAGTCTATCAATCAACCTTAATAGCTCTCAAGAGTTTGGATTATCAAGCTTTAAATAAAGTGATATCAAGACTATTAAAAAAAATAAACATTTCTGAAACTGTCTTTTCATAAGGCTTTAAACCATTTGCAAATTCTTAATTGGTATATGTCCCTATCATTCTATTAAACTATTTACAGCTCCACCTACTTCTAGACTCAGGAAACAGAACTACTACTTAGAATATTTGTAGAGCCAAAATAGTAAGAGACTCCTGTAATGGTTGAGATTTCTGCACTGACCTTGATTAGGATGCAGCCATAGGGCTACCAAAGTTTTCAGCGAGGGCTGGGGAGGTAGAGCATAAGTAACATTTTTTTTTCTGCAGAAGGTGATGGCTTTATAGAACACTATAAAATATTTCAGGAAAACATATAGCAGTTTTTCTTATCCAATGGGAACAGCCTATTTGACAAGGAATGATATAAGTTTGATTCACCTTTGAGCACTCTTACAGAGTTTATAGAAGAGGCGTAACTGGTTACAAAATAAAAATTCACTTAAAGTTTATCCACATCCTACAAATCTTCTGTTTATATAGGTCAGGTTAAAGTAAGCTCCAAACCTGTGGCCTTCAGAAGTAGCTCCTGTTTCGCACACCTGAAATTACTCTAACTTAATACATTTGTATTCTCTAAGAAATAATGCTGACTGCTGTCACCACAGCATCACTCATCTCTCAGTGGCTGTTAAAATATAAACAAGTGGAAAAAAAGTACACAAGTTGATAGCAGCTGTTCATGTATGCTTGTTTTGCTAATACCTGTGTAGAGATAGACAGTTTCACATGCAGACCACCATATATTTTTGCTTAAAGGTTACATTGGGTAAATTCTTTATCACATTACATCTGGGTGAGATTTTGCATGTGACCAAGATGAAGAAATCATTCAGTCCCGGAAACATCGACTGCTGTGAAAAACCACATCCTTGACTAGTACTTAATCTTTCCACAGTCATTCATCTGCTAATCAGGTGAAGTATCAGCTCAGCAGAACAAGGCAAGTTATACACAAATTTCCCCCACATTCACACTGATGCCGTACTTAGTAATTCTGGCTCTACCATTCACTTTTGCACTGTTTGCAAATCAAATTCATGTGGAAAAATGTTCTGTTTGTAGAACTCGTAGTATTCACTTATAGTGCTCATGTCAGGAATGGCAAGTGAGTAACAGCCCCTGATAATCTGCTTCTGTTTGAACCTAATGCAAAGATAATAAAACATGTCCACTTCTTTTCTAGTTCTAATCAGTTTTTAGACATCTTGTCAAGACTTACTTTGCATGAGATTTGTTTCCTATTATTTGAAAATGTGCTGTACACTTGAATTAGAAAAACCTGCTTGAATGTACTGTCAGTTATTAAAGCACATGTGACTAAGTTTGCATTTGTCAGTATTGTTCTACTGTTTGTACTGAAAGTCTCATTTTAAAATTGCTACTTAACACTGTACTATACCTTGTAATTTTTTAGATTCTTCACTTGTATTCTTTAAATGTTTCCAGATGCCTTTAGTTTTAGCTGCTGTAAAATAGCTACTTTGTGTTATTTGATATAGAATTGTTTTTTAAAAACTCCATTTATTTATACAGAGACATTTATAATATTTTACAAACATTCTTATATTCTGAATAAATATTTCTAATTCCACAGTGTACCTTAACTGTGTTATTTAAAGGGTAAGGCTATCCTTCTGTAGAACTGTTTGTCATACAGACAAATATCAAATCCATGATGTTCACATGAAATCAAGCATCTAATCAAAGCAGGGGGGCTGGAAATAAGACTATTATTAGATCAAAATGGCCAAAGAACCCTCCTTTAGAGCCCATTTCTATTTGGCTTTTTAAAATTTGGCATAAATCAGAAGCTATCTATTGAAGAGTCTTTTCCCCTCTTAAAGATCATTAAAACAGGGAACGTAATCAAGGACTGGAAATGCAAGGAAGTCATATGGGACAACAAGATGGCAAGCAGCATTGCAACACGTCTGTTAGAGAAAGATTAAAATGTTCTCAAGTTTTCACTATGGAAGGAAAGTAACTTTGACATTAAGTATAACACACTGATCACTCTCCTTTTGAAAATTTTAGATAAAAGTTACTATCATATAGCTAAGGTCTCTAATGGAAAAGAATGTATTTCTTTTCCCCCGAGATCCAAGGTTAAGTATTCCTATTGCAAAACCTGATTCTAGCACAAACTTAAGAATTGCTGGATTTTAAATACCTAATGAATTCACATCTCAAGCCTTAAACTATAATCTTGCTTTAAAGCAACAAACTTGAGGTATTTTCATTTTTGCAGAGACTCTACAATATTTCTTTCTGGCTTTTTTTTTTCCCCCAGACGGAGTCTTGCTCTGTTCGCTCAGGCTGGAGTGCAGCGGCGCGATCTCGGCTCACTGCAACCTCCGCCTCCTGGGGTCAAGGGATTCCCCTGCCTCAGCTTCCCAAATAGGTGGGACTACAGACGCGTGCCACCACACCTGGCTAATTTTTGTATTTTTAGTTTCACCATGTTGGTCAGGCTGGTCTCGAACTCCTGACCTCATGATCCACCCACCTCGGCCTCCCAACGTGCTGGGATTATAGGTATGAGCCACCGCGCCCAGCTTCTTCCTGTTACATAAACATACTTTTATCATGTTCATCTCATACTTGCCATTTGTATTGGTCCAAAGAGACAGCAACCACAATGAGCAGCTCAGAACCTAGATAACAAGTAACGGTAGCAGAAACCAAGCTAAGGTAGTCACAAACTGCCCAAGCAGCCAATTTTATTGACATTACAAACAATCTAACACAATGATGTTTTTACACAAAGCCAGTATCTGAACAACCTTCCATCATTCAAATTGTATTTTGTAA